AAATCTATCTGATAACAATGAGGTCTTTGTTAATAATATCAGCTGTATTCAAAGCTAAGATACTGTGTTGCATCTGTGTGGCCTGTAGTTTCAAGAAGGATAGACCTAAAGCTGCTGTCCCTCAGGTGGTATTCCTCATAAAAGAGCCCCTTCCTTTTACTGGTACTTAGAATAAGTCAGTGGGGTGAGCATTTTAAGACTCTATTAATGGTTAGGCTTAAATGTTGCTTTGGGGTGACTGGTGGAGGTGCATGCATATGCTGTAGAAAGCAAGAATTGGGATGAATTAGATCACTGGAGGAAATGCAGGTGCCCACATAAGCAGATTCCTGGGTGGGACTGTAGGAGCATCTGCAAGCAGGGAGCTGGATGGGAAGTGGAGCTGTTGGGATTCTCAGCGCGTTCAAGGCGAGGACTTTAGCTGCTAGGCCACGCTGCCGGGCCCAAGGCCAGTCACTCTTGTACAAGTTTATTGCTGGTGGGGGTATGAGCTGGTAACAGACTTTTTAGAAAACCGTTTGGCAATGTATTTTCAGAACTTTAAAGACATTCATACCACTTGACCCAGTATTACTTCTACTTCTGGGAAACTGTTCCATGGAAATACTCAGAATCCTTTAAAGAAAACAAAAAGGTCTAAGCCTCAAAAATGTTAAGTGGTATTTGTAGCACTTCATATCTTCATTATTCTATCAAGAAATTAAATGCAATCTTAATGTCTCACAGAAGGGAAACAGGTAAACACATCCACTCAAGGGAATATTATGACTCAAGTTAAAATGTTTTCAAGAGTTATAAGACACAAAATTCTTAAAATGCTGGATTTCTCATAAAAATACAAAGAGAATAAACAATAGAAATCAACCTGGGCTTTAAAAATACACTTAAAAGTAAGGACTAATGAGGAATAAGCCAAGAGCTTTGCTTTTGGATACTAAAATTTGTTTTTAAGAAAGTAGTTTGATTTCTGTTTAGCATTTTTGAAAAGAATGACATATAAATATTCATATTCGCTAGAAGAGGATGCTTTATGACAGAGAAGGGATCATCAAGAAGCTTTTACTCAACTAAGTTGGAGCATTCTTTCTGCAGACCTTCCAGATCCCTCTGTGTTTGTTATTAAGGATTTGTTTAGCTTATCTGAAAGGCATGGTGACAGGGAGAGAGAGGGGAGAGACAGAAGGAGGAAGATCTTCCTTCTGTTGGCTCATTCCTCAAATATTTGCAACAGTTGGGGCTGGGTCAGGCCAAAACCAGGAACCCGAGCACTCCATGTTCGCATGGTGGCAGGAGCCCCCGCACTTGAGCCCTCACCTGCTGCCTCCCAGGGTGGATCAGCAGGAAGTTAGACTGGAGGTAGGTGCTCCAGTGTGGGATGCAGGCATCTGAAACAACGGCTTAACATACTGCAGTGCCACGCCTGGCCCTTCAAGCACCCTGGTTAAAGTCACACTGACTGACCAATCTGATTTGGAGTACCTCCAAGTGAGGATCTTCAAATCTCCTGTCTTCAAATCTCAAATCTTCAAATTTAGTGATTAGAAAGCGTAGTCATTTTGCTTTATTACATAGTTTTCTGTGGTCATCTAGAGCCCAATTTTTGCTAGAAGATTTTTGTGAACTTGGAAATCTGAAATCCAAATTCTGAATTTCATGTTGTGCTCTTGGGATATAGCCACAGCCCCAGAGCATTGCCGGAAGCAAGTACTTTAGTGGATAACAAAGAAAGAAAAAATTAAATAAATGAAAAGGAAAAACCACATTTTTTTAATGTGATAAACTGGCCTTTAAACTTATAAAACAGCAAGTAGAAAGCGTTGTAGTTTTTCTTTTAGCATTAAATACTTAATAACTCATTTAAGAAATCTTTTCATACACAGTCTTCTTTCTTTTGTTTTTAACGTTTTCTGAAGTAAGATCTGGTTAAGTACATTCTCTAACTGACTCACTAATTAGCTTCTTTAGCTGTATTACATAATTATATAACCAGGCTTTGTGCTTCACTCAAACATTTATTTTTTTAATAATAACCTTATTCAGATATAATCCACATGCCATGTAATTCACCCACTTAGAGTGTATAATGAGTTGTGCAACCATTACCAAATCAATTTTAGAGCATTTTCCCCAACCCACCCTAAAAAGAAATTTTACAGCCATTAACAGTTACTCCCTATTTCCCCCAGACTTCCCAGGCCTTGGAATTCACTTTCTGTCTTTAAAGATGCGCCTATCTGGCTGTCTCATATAAGTTGAATCATGAAATGTGTTTTGTTGTTGTTGTTAATTACTTCTTTTATTTAGCATAATGTTCTCAGGACTTATTAGTATTGTAGCATAGATAGATACTTCATTTCTTTCTGCGTTTTCTATTCTATTTTATTCTGATTTTCCATTTTGTGGCTACACCACATTTTATTCATCTATTCTTCTGTGAATGGGCACTCGAATTTCACTTTTTGGATTAACATAAATATCTTTAGCTATGACTATGCTTGTGCAAGTTTTTATGAGGGCATATATCTTCGTTTCTTATGCGTGTTGTCTACATGCATGCTGATGTGTACTTAGGAGTGGAATTGCTGAGTCACATGGTGATTCTGGACTTAATCTTTGGTGGCACCAGCAGACTGAGTAGTTGCGCTGTTTTACAACCCATCAGCAATATTTGAAGGTTCCCATTTTTCCACATTCTTGCTGACACTTGTTCTTGTGTTGTTACCATCCTAGTAGGTACAAAGTCTATCTCATTTTGGTGAGTTACATTTCCTGGTGACTTATGATCCTGGGTATCATTTCTTGTGCTTTTGGGGTGTTTGTATATTTCAGTAGAGAATTAGCTATTCAGATTAGTTGCCAACTTTTAAAAATTGTGTTTTCATGATTGAATTTAAGGGGTTACCATATATTTTGGGTAAAAGCCTGTTGCCATGTATGTTTGCAATTACTTTATCTGTGGTTGTCTTTCCACTTGCTTGATGGTTTCCTTTGATGCACAGTTTATAATTTTGGTGAAGTCTAATTTATTCATTTTTCTTTTGCATTTTGTGTCATATTATATTATTGCTAATAAACCATTGCCCAATCCAAGATCACAACATTTATTGCTGTGTTTTCTTCCAAGAGTTTTGTGGCTTTAGCTCTTAACATTTAGATCTTTGATCCATTTTAAATTAATTTTTGTGTATGGTGAGGCTTACCCCAACAACTCCTTTCTTGTTTTGCATGTGGCTTTCCTATTGATTGTCCCGAGCCATTTGATGAAAAGACTGTTGTTTTCTCTTTAACTGTCTTGGCACTCTTCTTGAAAACTGAGCGACTGTAATAGTGGGGGTTCACTTCTGGTCTTTCAATTCTGTTGCATTGAATTCTGTGAAGATTTATTGGGTACCCCTATGTGCAATTATGCTTAATATATCTATGCTACTTGCGTTTTGAACTAAACCATTCCCTCTTCAAAGCCTAGATGGTCTTTAAATAATTCATTCTTTTAGGATATAACCTCTCCTTAGGAAGATTTAGTGACTTTTCTTGATCTTATTTGTAGTGACAACTGTAGATGGGTCTGATTTATACATGGTCTTTTGGCAAGTTGCGGTCTGAGCAGCAAGTCTTAATGTCAGAAGAATGAGTATTGTTGGAGGGCTCGGGTATGGGAGCATTGCTCTAGAGTAGGCCAGTGATTGCTGAAGATGAGACTTTAAAGTGGAAGAAGACTGTGACCATGATGAGGGCTTCCTGGCAGCTCAGAGTTGTCCATGTGCAGCTTGAGAGGCCCAGGAAGTTGAAAAGTCCACTTGGTAACAACCACAAGGACATAGAGAAATGGAGGGAACTTTCAGATTGAATAGCCATGATTCTGCTTCCAAATTTTAATTTTAGTAGCAGTTCCTTGCCAGTATAAAGTTATAAAGGGGAAATTATGTTTACAAATAATGACTTATTGCTAATTTTAAGATGAGTTAAAGGAGCCAAGAATTGTATACAATGGTGCTGGCTCAGTTTTAGGTAAGGATTGTGGTTTTTAGAAGCTGAAGGGATAGAAGTAAATACAAACTTGGCAGAATTTGGTGATTATCTGAAAATCATTAAAGATGATCCCAGTGTTCCAGCTTGGGGACATTGGGAGGATAATTGTACCGTACTTGTGTTATGCAAGAGCAGAGGAGACCATTATAAAGAATACTAAATTTTAATTTTTCTATGCTGTTTAGCAAAAAATATTTAAGTAGTTATTAAAATATATCCAACATAATCACTAGGGATAATAAACATATCAGGACTTTTATCCAGGAGCTCTCAACATTCATTAGGCACAAATAAGGCAATTTTCCCATGTATAAGTATTCTTATGTATTTTAAAGCTTGATTGATTTGTTTGAAAAATAGAGACAAAAAGAAATCTTCACCCACTAGTTCACTCACCAAATGGCCACAAGCAGAGTTGGGCCAGACAATGGGTAGGAGTCAGGAACTGTGTCATCCCACATACATGACAGGGACCCAAGCCTGTCGGCCACTTTCCTCTGCTTTCCCAGGCACATTAGCAGGAAGCTGGACTGGAGGCAAAATAGCCAGGACTCAAATCAGTGCTGCAATATAGGATGCCAGTTTCACAGATGGTGGCTTACCACACTGTTGGTTGCCCATTTGAAACCTGCAGTGTAAAGTGAATTTTCAATGTCTAATATTAAGTTGGGTAGTATTTCTGTGTATGATGAACATAAATATTATGGTTCTTAGTGATTTTTAAAAGATGTAAGAAAGATATCTAGATTGTACTGCTTGGTAATGTCATGAAAATGTACCTGTTTTGAGGGAGAAAGGAAAGAGGTTGTTGCTAGTGGTCACATTGAAAACTTACATTTAGCAGCATAGGTGTTTCAGTTGCTCAAGATGGTTTGGGCTGTAAACACTGCAGCCTGAGTGTTTGAAAATATTTATTATATGTCAAAACTTAATAAAGCAGATTTGTTTACCCATCTTAACATTTCTTTCAGGGATTGTCCCGTCTTCTGTTGTCCTGACTTCTTTCCAGGTGATGTCAAGAGTTTTTCTCATCTGGGCAGTAACACACAGTGTGAAAGAGGTAAGCATTTGTGTAGACTGAAGTAGTGTCAGCACTGACGTACATAGTCACCTTTCCCTTCTCACATGTTTGTGATCACTGCAGATGGGACGCAGGTCCTAACAGCCTGATTGAAAGGAAGTTCGCAGTGAACTGTAGAAATGAAGTCAGTGGTGGCAGACATACTCAGCTATGCAGTGTCGGTCAAGAGAAGACTGGTTACTTGTTGCGTCCTGTGATCCCAAGGTGGTTTAGTTTGGTGTGGGCGTGGTCTGCATGGACATTCCATGTTTCTGGTCTCTTACTTGTATCCCACCTACTAACTCCCGGGGCATCTGCATCCTCCCAGTCAAGAATGGGCGAAGTTTGACCTTTATGGTACCAGGAGAAACATACTTCTTTCCACCAGGACTTATGGATTTGCAGGATGGGCCAAGACTGTAGGGGACCTAGCAGGGCAAAAATCTGAACACATTCAGGGATTCTCACTACAAGAAATTGGGAGAGGCTGTCCTTACTCCAGGTGGGAACCCAGAGCTAAGCTTTCATGTGGAGTAGGAGGGGGTGGTTTCCGGCCCCTTCAGTCACCTCTTGCTTGCCAGGGTCATCTTGAGGCAGAGTCCCAGCAGCTTCCAGGAGGATTTCTGTTTCCATGTTTTGGTCTCAGCTGCCCATGCCTCACCCCCTGGCTTCTCCGGAGCTCATGAAAGTGTTCATCTACTCACATTGTTCCTGGATTCTTTGTCTCCTGTTCTTCTGAAATCCCTGTCAAAGCATTTTGTTTTTCGGGATTTATTTTGACAGTTTCATTTGTATTCTAGCAGAAGAGGCTTTCTTTTACCCTTTTTATGGGTCTGGGATACACATACAGCAAAATGTGCGCAGCTTGGCAGGGCTTTAGCCAGACTGGAACCAGCAGTGGTTACCAAGCTGGCATTGTACATTCCTGTGGAACTTACAGGCTCAGGGGCTTGGTGCTTCTTCTCTCCTCTTGAAGACACATGAGCTTCCCATGCAGGAAGAGCATAGAGTATTTGCATATTTATTTATTTATTTTTATGTGAGCATATTTCTTTTCTAAACAGCTAAGAAAACCAGGTAAATCAGTTTGAATTTAGCATGCAGCCCTTGGTGTTCAAGTTAAGGAAATTGCTGTACTTGTATCATGTCATCTTTTCATTTATTTCTAAGTCTTCTCTATAAGCCATTCTTAACCTATATTTCTTCTGCCATACTTTTAGTTATATACCATTTCTTTCTCATTTTAACCAGCAGTTCATAATTGTATCTTCCAGAGGTCTTAAGTGACCTAAAATTTCATCCCAGTAATAAACTCATTTATATCCTTAAATAAATCATGATGTGCTTGCAATAATTAAATACTAGGTACATGGAGCCAAAGAATCGTGCACTGTAGAGTGTTCCATTACTTTGCCAATTAAGTCTGAGATTAATTGTCCAGGTGTTAATGTCCCAGTTCCTGCTGCCACATTTGGCCTCTCCTAGTGTTTGTCCCCACGGCAGTATCTTTGTCTCCTTGTTACATGGAGACAAGTTTGGACTTTTCAAAGTGAAGTTCAGTAAGCAATGCCACATATGTCTCTCTCCCTGGTGCTTCTTGAGAAGCAGGCAAGCCCAGAGGGCAGCTATTCCTCCTTATCCCAAAGTGGCTATGGGTAGTTCCGGATTCCCAGACCCAGAGCCACGGTCCTCTTGGCTTCTTGGCTGCTCTCTAAGGAAGCCAGTCTAAGCCTTTTGTGAGCTCTGATGTTGGAGCACCAAGCTCATGAAGCAGAAATCCCAGTCCTCCATGAAGGACTGCTAAGCCCAGTGCTGTGGAGAGACCCCTGAGTAGCAGTGATTTGCATAAATGAAACTGCACTGAGCACTCAGTAGGAGCCTTGAACCCTCTCCTCCTCACCCTTTGTCACTATTGGAGAAAGGAATGTTTTCCCACATGCTTCTGGAATGTTCTGTGACTTCTGCTAATGTTACCAGTCAGCTGTTTCCGCTTCTTGCTGGCGTGTTCCTGGGCTGGTCTCCCATCCTTGCCAGCTTTTCAACAAGAAGCTTACAATAATCTTGTAATCGGTGCTTGACTACATTAGTCACCTCCAGTTTTTTAGGTTCACCCTGGGTTTTGTTTTGTTTGATGTGTTACCATTTGCAGAGAACTTTATTATATTATGGTTACCTGGCCTTGACAGTCATTTATTGGGAGAACGTTGTGGCCCCCACTGAGCATTTGGAAATGAGAGAGGCAGTGACTCAGCCATCCGCTTGGGAGTGCCCTTCCAAATCCAGGGTCTTCCTGGTGTGCTGGAGCAATCCTATTTACAAACACTACCTAAACACCTGCTTGTGGTTGTGGTGCTGACTTTCTCACTCCCTGTGGCTCCGACCAGAGTCTGTTTCCTGCGCCTCCATGCCAGCTCGTGCTTCTCCTGTCCCAGCATCCACACCTCAGCCGTGTGTGCCAGCTGTGGGTCTTTGGTGCTGATCTGCTGTTGCCTTACATCTCCTTTTTGGTAGCTCACATGGCTGAGATGAATCCACCTCAACTTTCTCCTTGAAAGTTTCAGGACTTTTTATAGTTGGGGTTTATGAACTCTTTGGACTGGAGTTACCCAGAGAGTCCATTAAAAACACACGTTTCTGGTCCTACTCCACACTTGATACCAGCTACCTGGCAGCAGGGCTGGGGTCTTGGCATTATTCAGGAGTCCCTGTGAATTCTGAGGTCTGAGATCCCTGTATGCTATGCTGAAATTTCTGCTTAGTCTTTTCTTTTAAGATTTATTTCTTTTCATTGGAAAGGCAGATTTATAGAAAAAAGGAGATACACAGAGAAAGATCCACCATTTGCTGGTTCACTTTCCATGGGCTGCAATATCCAGAGATGAGCCAATCCGAAGCCAGGAGCCAAGAGTTTCTTCTGAGTCTCTCACACAGGTGCAGGGTCCCAAGGATTTGGACCATGCTATACTGCTTTCCCAGGCCACAGGGCTGGATGGGAAGTAGAGCAGCCAGGATGTGAACTGTTGCCTATGTGGGATCCAGGCACATGCTAGGTGAGGACTTAGGCCACTAGGCTACACCACTGGGCCCTCTCGCTCTCTCTTTTTTAAATTTTAGTTCACATTTCTGTATAATCCACTTGATCCCTAACCAGATCCAAGTCCCAGAGCCATTATTTCATTATTTAAGAGTGAAAGCCTTAGGGTTTCCTTACACTGCTGAGGAAGGTTGTGAGGGGAGGGGAGTTGCTTTGCTGATGACCCAGCAGGAGGACAATTAAGGAGCTGCCTTAAAGGCAGAGATACCATCACACTCAGGGACCCACTTCTGTTTGCCTGCCAAAGCCAGAGGAAGAGGAAAGGGGGTAGGAACACTACTGCTCCTGCTGGGAGTTCTTAAGAGGTCTCATGCACCCTGGGTGGTTCTGTTATCTTCTAGGTGCTCAGGATTCAGTTCCCTCACATACAGTAGCTCAGCACTCGGCACCTATGCGAGTTGTTGCATGTCCCATGCAACACAAGACAAACCACCACAACCTCCTGGGCCTTGTCCTGATCTGTGAAACGATAGTATTCAGCTCTGCGCTGCTCGTGACATCAGAGAGCACTGGGAAGAGTCCTGGACAGGAGCCCTCAACAGATGATCGGCCAGTAGCCCAGGCTCCGACACAGCTGGGAGAGTCCCTCCTTGGGATGCCACTTCCTTTCACCCACATACCACTTCCCTTTCCGGCCACTCCCCTCTTTGTCTGACCTTTGTGGAAGCCCAACACTAGAGAAATACCCATTGGCATGTTGCTTGCTTGCTTGGCTCTGTTGGCTCCCATGGCCTGAGGCTGCTTTTTCTGGATTTCTTGTGGCTGCACACTCCGCTTGCTGACCCTTGTGACCACACTGAGCTTTCCAGCGCGTAGTATCCTTGACTGTGATGTTGAGCAATGGCAGAAAGGGAAGCTTTTTCTCTGAGCCGTTCAGGTGAGGAGATGGGATGCTGTCCCACGCATTGCTGTCACCTTCCATCTCATCCTGTGTGGGGACCACAGCACCCTACCACTGACTTCTAGGGCCTGTGCCCTTTCCACAGCGACAGGCCCTCCCTGTTGGCAGGGTGCCTTTAGAAACTGAATGTCAAAAATCCTCCTTCCTACTTCATCTCTTGCCTTCTTTGCTATTTTCAATCCTCCTGGAGGTGGATTTCCATCACCTTAGCTTTCAGAATTAGCACTGCTCCTAAAGGTAGAAAAATTTGATATCTGATTGCAAATCAGCCCTGTCAGGCTCTAGACAACCAGAGTTGAGTGAGACAGCATGGAGGGCTTTCTTTCCCGCTGCCACTAAGGGACACTTCACAGCAGCCACTCTAAGTGTTTAGCTGGCTAACCCTGGGCACCATGACCTGGAATTAACACAGGCAATTGTGCCAAATCTGAGTGTCTGCCTTTCATGCTTTTCTGCCTGTCTTTTCCATCGGGTTCTTGAACTGTGTTGAAACACATTTCGAAATACTGAAAAAGTCTTAGACCTAACTTTAGGTTCCTTATTACTTCTGCCATCTCCTGCTGTATCTTTTCCCCTGGGCCTTAATTCCTGTTTAGCCCTTGGAAAACTCCCCCTTGAACTTGCTGAATGGTGAAGGGGTAACGTTCTCCATGATAGTCAGGTGTGAAAACAGACCTTCTTAAATGTCACAAACCTGCACTGGCACTGCTTTGTTCACAATAGAGCCCCACTTTGCCATCCCATCTCTATGCTCAACAAATCAGCCTCTTTTGGTAATAGAGTTACAGAGAAAGGAAAGAGAAAGATCTTCCATCTGCTGGTTTATTGTTCACTCCCCAAATGTTTGCAATAGCCAGAACTGGGTCAAATCAAAGCCAGGAGCCTCGTTCAGCTCTCTCATGTGGGAGTAGGGGGCCTAAGCTCTTGAACTATCCTCCCTTGGGTGCATTACCAGAAAGCTGGACCAGAAGTGGAGCAGGTGGGACACAAACTGGTGCCCAGTTG